TTCTACGATTTCGCACCTGTCGTGCCTCTGCAAAGGCATTTGAGCAGCAACACCGTTTAGGAGTGTTGCAATGTTATTTAATGACGCCTCGGACTACTCTTCTGAATTATAGCTTTTTATAAATTTTCATGAAGGCAACTGCTACATGCTCTGTCAACTCAAATATGTACATAGTACACATTAAATAAAGTGTACATGGCATGTATGCTTTGATTAATGTGTGCATGCCTATGTACACATTTATAAATGTGTACATGGGCATGTATACTAACGGTTGTATGAACACTTTAAAAAATGTGTACATGGGCATGTTCACATTAATAAATGTGTACATAGCCATGTACACATTGATTAAAGCATAAATGCCATGTACACTTTCTTTAATGTGTACCATGTACACATTTCAATTGACAGAGGTGACACACTCGAATGAAGTGGTGCAGATCCTTTTTACAGCGAGGTTTGCGTCACTTTTGGGTAGGTTGCCGGTGGACAACCCATTCCACAGTTCATTATCATGCGTCTTCCAGGAAAAAGGACATTGGGTCAAAGCCACATTTGTCCTCTAGACGAGGTCACCCGTATTTCAATACTCGCATGGATGGTAGCCAGTGTGGTCCGGTGTGGTGTGAGACTGACTGTACACCTCTACTGTACCACCCGGCAGTCGGTCATGGAACTCTCATTATTATGTCGAGCCACGCGGCTCTGGCGGCGCGTGTGCGCCCTCCACTGTAGACAATAATATTCAGTCACTTAAAGTAATTTGCCATGTTCAAATGCACTTTAACACTTATTTCTGAGAAAAAAAATTTGCGGAGAGGCTGGAAAATAATACGGAACTATTGTTTTGAAAGGATAAATGTCACTTCATTCAAATGTTCACACTAAACTGTTCTGAACTTTTTTATGCGAGGAGCACAAAATAATGCACCTGCTCTTCTTTTTTAAATTATACAAATTGTACATATTTGTGTAAAATTAGTCTATAACAGCGTATTAAAGAATACGCAAGAAGAGCAGGTGGAGAATGCTGATTAGCTGCGTCAAAAACTTCACAACAATTTGGTGCGTTGTAATAAGGCGTCCCGTAAATAAACCGATACCCTCTCTGTAAAACCACTGAAAATGTAACATTGTTATCATTCGAAAAAGGCGGAAATTCTCTTTCGAATGATATTTTTGGTAAAACAGTGACTTTTGAGCGGTTGTCCGGCCGGAACGCCAAGCTAGGTAAGCGGCTATCCGCAAGCGGGAGTGAGCTGAGCGCTTTCTCCCAGCCGCGGAGGCGGTAAGTGGTTTCGACACCTTGAAATAAAAGACACGCAGTTGAACCGCTGGATTCGAGATCTACGCAGTTCAGCCGCT